AGAACATAGAGCAGCAAATGAGAGTCGCAAAACAAAAACCTCACACTGAGCTGAGATTCTTTGGTGTTTGGCCTCTGACTGAATGCTCTCAACTGCATTTCTGCTTTACAGTGAGGTGTGGGAGGTGGAGGTCACTCTCAGTGTGTTCATATCTGCCAAAAGAGCCAAAGGGCCACCAAGGAGGGACTCACAGGGACTCAAATGCACCACGACTAGACCTTCTGTCAAAACAGAGAAACTCTGATTACAACACACACAGAAGGAGTGTGACTTTACTGTCTGCTAAGAACATCATTACTTTGCTATATCTTCACATAGGAGATGTTGTTTGCTGCTACATTATGGTATACTTATGTTCAAAATCTCAAATACTGTGCCCTTACAAAGGATATTCATAAGGGAAATTTAATTTAGTCTAAATAGTGATTATCTGTGATGATTGCATCTTGTTTCTGCTGCCCCCAAGCAGGTTCAAATGTTTTACTGCAACCTTATAAGATGGGACCGAAATAGAAAAGCCTGAAACCTCAATACTGTGAATGTTGTTGCTTTGTGGTTTTTTGTGTCCTGTTAATTTTAGGCTATCTTTAGGTTACAGACCAATAATTTGTAAAATACTCCAGAGTAGGTTATTTATTAAGAAGCACACTTTTTAGGTGGTAGGTTGAAGATTAACCAACATCATGACAACAACGTCCTCTGCTCTGTAGGACTTGGGAGTGATCCGAAGAAGTTTTCGATCTCAGCAGTTCTCCTGGTTGAACAGGAATTAAAGGTGGGATAAAAATGTGGGTTAAGTATGAGGGGACAAACCAAGGGTCAGAGGGGGATTGATGATGATCCAGGTGGTGATCCAGGGCTGACACTTGGGGTGAGGCCACTTTTTAATAAAGGTTATCATTCCTTATGTGGATCCCGTCATGAGAGATAAGGAAGATCAGAAGCAGGAAAGGAGCTTGGAGGGGGGGACATGTGAGAACTGAGACAAATGGAGGAGGGAAGGTTTATACATACCTACATATGGGCACTACCTGGTTTGCTTTGTGTTGTCAGCTGGGAGGCTGTCCAGTCTTGTCAGTAATTGAATCTTGTGTTTTGCAGTTGAGTCCAACAGCTGAATCGGCATCAGCAAGACAGATCTGTGCTTCTGGGCAGATAAAAAGTAAAAGGGAAGTAAAGGTTAAGGAGTTTGAATCAACACCCCTCAGCACGCTTGCTGTTGACGCTGTGCTAACACCAAGACATTTCAAGCTCTTCTAATCAGAATGGGATTTAATACATTTATAAACCCTCAGAGCAGCTTTCACTGTGCAGATGAGGAGTGACATACTCCTGTGTAATTTACCAGTGAAGCCTGAGTAAGTGTTTCTGTGCCAGGCAGCTGGAAGTGGAACACATCAGGCACAGTGAAGTGACCAGTGTCCACAGAGCCTGGCTTCAGCCCTCATGTGAATGAAAAACCACTGGAGCAAAGCTGATCCCTCAGGACACTCTAATGCCATGCTTTAATGCCTCTGCCCCCATAAAGCCTGTGCCCATGAAAATGACATGTTAGTACCAGACTGCTGGCAGCCTACTTACAAATGTCAAGCCTTGGAGCAACAATCACTACTAATCTACAGTTTTGGATTTGAAAAGCAAGTACAGAGTGTTTTTCTTAGAATTCCTCCACAGAAGAGCCACAGAAACAGAACTTTGATCATCACTTGAAGCTGTGCTGTATGTAGTACTACTACTACAACCACTACTGCAAGAACTCCTGATGCAATACTTTTCCATCTCCTTTACTGCTGCTATTACTACTATGACTGACACATTGTCAGGATCAGTCGTGGCAAGGCACTGGATAGCAATGTCAGCTGGTCAGTCGAACACTTTCATCCAAACTGATATGACTTAACGTATTTGGATGGAGGCCCTTATGCCAAATTTTAGAGGCTTTTGTGGAGCAAGTTTTAGGTTATTCAATGAATAGCATCAACTGGATGGTTTAACACAAAGTTTGGTTCAGACAGTCCTGCTTCCCAGATGAATCTCGTTCTAATGACTCTGCTGATCCCTTGTCATGTGCTGGTTCGCTAACTAATGTCCACAATCTTGAAAATGCTGGTAAATCTGGAATTCCCATCAGCTACACTTTGCGTTTAGTGCTAATTAAACAAACATGCCAAGCTAAGGTGGAGGTCACGTAAAACTTGACCTGCTTCATAGTTTCCCTGTGAGCATGTTGGCATTTTGTTCAATAATCTGACTGTTGACTTCTAAAGCCTGGATTAAACATGTTTGCAGACCTGTAGAAACCACAAACATGTCACTGTTGTTATGCTATTTTTCTAGTCTGCAGGAGTCCTCTTGAAGAACTCGATTCAATACATGCGCACTATCTGGTGTCTTCGTAATCTGGGCACATACGCTATTGCTAAGCATGCAACTTACTGGCCTTGTAGTGTAGCTGCTGCATGGACGCATATGTTTTGCAGACATGAAAGGCTTCACATGGACTCGCGCCAACTTAGGCATAGCACAAAATTTATGTCCTAGTGGCCCTTCAAGTACTTGCCAACATGGAAAATATAACATTGGCCTAAGCTGTGATTAAACTTCCTGATGCTACTTTCTGCTGTTTTAAGTCCTTCTGGGGGATTAAAGGTGGTGTTATGGTGTTGTAGCTACAGTAGTGCTGTTTTTGAGTCTCTGTGTGACATCTTTTGTCCATAGTGGCATTCACAGTGCAAGACCCTTGTTTGCCCACTTTGTTGTGAATCAGTGTTTTATTCCATAAAACCACAGCAGTGTCAGAGCTACTGGGCTTGAGGAAATTTCTATGGATAAAAAAAATCAAAGATGCATGGGATGGATGTGAGATTAAGGAAGCTTCGTTAAGGGGACTGGATGCTTTTATAAATGACTGTCTCCAAGACTCGGAATATCGCTTTAAAATGTAAGTACGTGTCAGCATCACCCTGTGCACAGAAGTGACTCTGACTCAGCGAGCTGTTGTATGAACAACCTGTGACATGGACACTAGTGGTAATAATGATGGTACGAATGGCTCCACCACAGCATCTGAGATCAGCTGACTGAGCAAAGCAATATTCTGACAGGGTGAGATGATTGAACGCTCCAGAGAAAGCTAGTATGTGACCCTTTGTTCTTATTATTTTGTTAAAGCAGAATATAGTATGTGATGCGTTTACTATTATTACAGTGTTGACACGTCTAACATGCTGACAGTTTATAAGCAAATCTGGCAATTCATTTTATCTGTTATGGAAAAAAAAACATGATGCAAGCTTTTTTATGTGGGAGCATATGTTTCAAGCAGAAAAATATCAGGTAAGGACTTTCAGGCACCAATTAAACATCTGCTGCAAGACAAGTCATTAATCACAGCAGCAGTCCTCTCTGTTTAGAATGTCCTCTGTGTGTGTGTGTGTGTGTGTGTGTGTGTGTGTGTGTGTGTGTGTGTGTGTGTGTGTGTG